AAACATATTTGCAAGACCCGGAGACCTTGGTTGTAAGCTTCATTCCTGAAGCTTCGAGGTTTCCAAAGTGCTTCCTTTAATCGGCTGCGCTGGGCTGCCATTCACCTTGACCTCACGCGAACGAGAACCAGTGGAGCGGGAGCCGCAGCCGCCTCAGTTCTCGCGCTAGTATTTTAGCGTCACTCCCATCCATCCTCTCGGTCCTTTCAAGCAACCTCAGCTCTTGTCCCTCCTTTCTTCACCACAAACAGCCACAACCACATTCACATTCACACCTCCTTCTCTTCGACCACGATTTATTTGTTTCCCTTTCTTACATAGTCGATTCTACTTCTTCTACTTGAGCCTTTTTCAGAGTCTCGCTGTGTACGACCACAAGTTCCCTACCTATTTCCACAGCCCACTCCCTCAGGCACTCATATCACAACCAACGCGCCCAATCGAGACGCAACCGGACAGTTCTTCCACTAATAATCTAGCAGACTGTTGAGGCGATCACATCGTCAGAATGGCAGAACCTGACAACTTCGAGGAGGATCTCTTCGCCGATCTGTGAGTATGCCCAGAGGTGCCCCGACCCAGCTGTCCGACAACAAAGCTTGTGCGACAAGCAGCAAACTTCATCTCCTCTACTCCCATCAATCACGCAGCCACATCAGTCATCCACCTGCTACTCCAAACACCTGTCTAAGATGCTGTACTAATGCCATTTCCAGATACACAGATGAAGTTGCTGCGTCGAAGCCAGCTGCCCCAGAAGTTGAACTGAAGACTGAGCCTGCCCACGAGGAGGTGAAGGTCGAAGAATCCAATGGCCAAACTGAGCAGAATGGTGACGGTGGCGAGGAGACTTACAATGGTGGAGACCAGGACATGGATGATGAGATTGATTTCAATTTGGGTCAAAGCAATGGCAATAGTTACGATGCACCGGCCACCCATGAGGCCCATGGACCTGGCATCAAGGAAGACGGGTAAGATACTATCGATTTTCTTTTCATTGTATATGCAAAATGTCCTGGTGCATGATCGTGGGGGCAGTATTCCATTTTCAGCACAGCGTATCACGCTGTTGGAATCTATTTGCTTCATTTTACCAACATTTCGCCCTTGGCCGGGAGGGATATGGACATTGAGACTTTGGACTGGGAATTCGGTCAAGGTGGAAGATGGAAGGAGGGAATTTTTGCAATCACGAGGCATGAAGAATGACCATATGGGCTGGGAGGGACTAGGTATGAGGAGGAATATCTGTCTTTGGAGCACCGGACAATTCTCAATCTTGAAATTCTGGTGCGGGCGGGGTGATTGAAGGATGCCATGGAGCACTGAGGTGCCGCGGAAGGCCAGTGGAAACAAAACTTGGACAGCTTCAGAGGGAAACGCACAGGCGTCTTAAGAGGATTGAAAGGAAACTGATATCGACTCATGCAATCGACATCAACAGCGGCCATAGTCAAGCCTACTACATAGCCTATTGTCGAGATAATCTTCATAGAGCATCAGAGAAGGCCACAGATAGGCTAGAGCAGAAGGCAGCGCATAGCGTTCGACGCCAGTACCTAGCATCACGATAGCAAAAGACACGATTGTTCTTGGATATCTTGCAGTGTCATTCTTCATTGCATGACCACTTCTCCTGGATTCGCTGTGGCATGGGCGCGCAAGTCATGCAGGGTGTGTGAGATGCTGTGGAAGCTCTGCCCACGAAACAGACGAATGCGGTATATGTTCTCTGACGTTGCCTGCCGAATCAATCATGTCGCCCAAATCATCAAACGGCCCATACGTTCTTACGGGACAGATGACCCGAAAGTGTTGAAATTCTTTCCACAGCTAGCGACCTTCTCAAGCGAAGCATTCCCCATGTTCCAGACCAAGGGATCCGAGACAGCGAAACGGCATTCCAATTTTCCATCAACCCTGGATTTCTTTTCATAACACACGCTGTTTTTTTTTTAACTCCTGTTGTTATTTCACTTGCTAACAGGTCATGATTTTGCAGGAAGATGTTCATTGGTGGTTTGAACTGGGAGACGACTGATCGTAAGTATACCGCCACAGCTGGTTCACTCTTTACCTTATCTGACTTCGATCTTAGAATCACTCAAGGAATACTTCTCTCAATTTGGTGAGGTTCTAGAGTGTACTGTGATGAGAGATGGCGCTTCAGGTCGCTCAAGAGGCTTCGGCTTTTTGACCTTCAAAGATGCCCGTACTGTTAACATTGTGATGGTGAAGGAACACTATCTCGATGGCAAGATCGTAAGACCCGATTTCCAAACTCCTTCAAATTCTTTACGTCACTACCCTTCCAAAAACCTTTCCCCTAGCAGAGACAAAAGCTCACGCGCCCATTGCAAGATCGATCCAAAGAGGGCAATTCCCCGAGATGAGCAGGAACGTACCAGCAAGATCTTTGTCGGCGGTGTCAGCCAGGAAGCCACCGAACAAGACTTCAAAGAGTACTTCATGCAGTTCGGCCGAGTCGTTGACGCCACCCTCATGATGGACAAGGACACCGGCAGACCGCGCGGTTTCGGATTCGTCACATTCGATAGCGAAGCCGCAGTTGAGGCCTGTCTAGACTCGCCACTCGAAATTCTCGGCAAGCCTATTGAGGTCAAGAAGGCCCAACCACGCGGCAACATGAGAGAGGAAGAAGATCGAGGTGGCCGTGGAGGACGATTCCGGAAAGGAGGCAGTGACGAGAACCAAAACGCCAACCAAGTTCAGCAAGGTGGTGGTAATCAGATGGCACCAGGTGGTATGACTCCTCAGGTGATGGCTCAGTACTGGCAACGTATGCAACAATACTTCGCCATGATGCAACAACAGATGGCTATGGGAGGTGGACGTGGTATGCCTATGGCTGGTGGCATGAACCCGGCCATGATGATGCAAATGCAACAGATGCAAGCCATGCAACAACAGATGCAACAAGGCAATCGTAGTCAGAGCCCTCAAAGTCCTGGTGCTGGAATGGCTGCCATGCAAGGCATGAACCCAGCTATGATGCAACAGATGCAGCAAATGCAACAAATGCAAATGCAAGGTATGGGTGGTGCCGGAATGGGTGGAGGAGCAGGCATGGGCGGTGGTGCAGGTATGGGCAACAACAACTTTGCTGGTGGTGGGGGAAGTAACCCAGGTGGACGTATCGGTACGCCAGGATACAACGCCTATGAACAGCAAATATTCGAGCAGCAGAAGTACGAGCAACAACAAATGAGACGAGCAGGTGGACGTGAGCAAGGCCAATATGGTCAGGGCGGAGGTTATGGCCAAGGCATGGGTGGTGGACCTACATCATGGGAGGGAATGTATGATGATGTTCCTCAACCAAACGTTCCTAGCGGAGGCGGAGGTCGTGGAGGATTCCAAGGCAATCGTGGTGGAAGCAATAGGGGCTCGGTTCCTCCACAGACCGGCCCTCAAAGTGCCCCTCCGGCAAATGCACCAACTGGACCAAAGAATGCAGGCAAGCCTGGTGCGAACTATCGAGGTGGTGGTAGGGGCGGCAACAGAGGTTTCCATCCATATGCTAGGGGATAAAAGGGTGTTGGATTGCTACTTTCTAGGCTATGGTCTCAAAAGCTACTCATGCATTGTGGCATGATGTTTTGTTATTGTATGATGCATATCACCGTGGGAGGTGATCTACTGATCAATATTCATTAAGCGTTATGAATAAATTCAAAAAGGCGCTTCCATTTATAACTTCGTGAACCCCTCCTTTGGAGGCTGTAACCAATTTCTCTCATCGTAAACTGCTCCCTCCCCCTCAATAACATGGAATGTGTAAATGATCCTCCCCTTCTTACTAACGTTCTTCTCACTCTTATGCAACAGATTCCCATGAATCAGCACCAGAGACCCAGCCTTAACCTCCCCAAGTACATATTCCCCTCCCTTATCCTCTGCCCCATACTCCCCACCAACAGGGAATCTCAAGCCCTCATTATTAATAAACTCCGTCCCAGAACCATCCTTCTTCCTCACGAACCTCTGTCCCACCTCCGCACTCTTATGACTCCCCGGCAAGAAACTCAGACAACCGTTCTCAACCGTCGCATCCTCCAACGCGTACCAGAACCCCACAGCACTCGGCGGATTAGTGTAGAGGAATGTTGAATCCTGGTGTGGGGGGACTGCGCCGCCTATCTCGGGTTGCTTGCAGATAATCATACTTTGGAGACATTGCGGCGTGCGGAAACCGATGGATTTGGCAATCAGGGATGGGGAGTGCGTGGATGATGGGGAGAGGAGGGATGCAAAGGGTGATGAGAGGGCGTGGAGGTAGTGTCCTATTTTATTAATGGCGAGGGCTTTTGGTTTGGTGAGGTTGCCGGCTGTGTCGAATGCATCTGGAGTTGTTCTTGTTGTTAGTGGGGGTTTAGGATTACAGGACTTGGGGATTTGGGATTTGGGATTTGGAGGACTATCATACCTTCTTCGAAGAAGAAACGGATCTTGTCGCCGCTGCTGAGGAAGTAGTCGTCGCCTACGTGATCGCTCTTTTCTCCCGTTGAGAACTTTGTCATGGGATGCTCGGATAGAGAGAAGTTGTCTAGGAGGGAGTGGGTTTCTGTGAGGAGCTCGGAGACTTTGGAGGGGGAGAGGGCATTGGGGATGATGAGGTAGCCATCTCGTTCGAATGCTGCTAGTTGGTCTTTTGTGAGGCCTTGGGCTGCTGAGGGAGGATCTGGGGAGGTGCGTGAGGGCGCCATTTTGAAGGTTGAGGTCGGATGGAGGGGGAGGAGGGGTTCAAATAGGGAGGTGCTTATCAGAGCTCCCCTCGCCGATAAGAATGGGCTGCTTCGAATGTCGCTCATCTTCCTCTTTATGACTTATTGTTTACCTATTCTGAAGCAAAAAATTAAATAAGATTGTCTCTTCGTCCACTGATATTATTCGCTTACCTTAACATAGCCACCGACCACATTCTACCACAATCTACAAAAGCAAAATTTAAGCCCTCACGGGCTTAAAGGTCAGTTTGTCCACTGTGAGGTTCGAACTCACGCTTCGCAATGAAAATGGTGATCAAGAATTAACTTAAAACCATCGCCTTAGACCACTCGGCCAAATGGACTGTTGAAGCAAAAGACGGCTTATTTAAGCTTATACTAGCATCAAAAACTTGGCACCTTTTGCTTGGTGGAGTTGGCTATTGAGGTTGCTTGCCCCACCTTCTAGCATCTATAGTGGGTTTACTATGTTTACCGTGGATTGGCAACAGCGTAACTTGAAATATTTGGAGTGAACTTAGACGCTGCATTTCTCACAAAACTACCTAGGTGGTACACCTGGCCCCGGAAGAGCCATGCTTAAAGCCATCGAGGTCCAAACCAAAAACCTAAAGCAAAGGACGGCTCAATGGCCCCAAGTATCGTACATTTGTTTCATTGTAGTTGAAGTCTCGGCCAGATTCCTCAAACGCCAGACCATGCTTCCAGAATGCCGTTGAACTAACAAAGCAGACTCGGAAACAGATGGTGTGGTGAGCGAGATTTCTGTTCAAAGCCCGGGAGTTTGCTGATGCCAACGATGCGCAAGGCATTGAGTCACGAAGTTGCCAACAGTCATTAAGCCCTTACACCTTTGGAACCAACACAAATGGTGAGGATGTATGAAGGCCACAACTCCGTCATGAGCTCGTCTTTCAACGAACCACCAGGACAATCAAAATGCTGCTACACGAGCTTCATTCGGACATTTTAAACATCGTTATCTCGTTCGTGAGAGAAACTTCCACCAAAGATGTTTGCAGTCTTGCTTTAACTAGCCATACGCTCTATGAAGTCGCCTCATTTTACATTCCTCGATATCTCTCCTTCCACATTCCCTCCAAGAAGTTCGAGCTGTTCGAACGAAGTGTACGAGTGCGGCCTGCCTACGGTCTAGGAGTACGTTCGCTTCAACTTCGGGGGGACTTCGAGGCGGATTCTGCACAGTCAAATATGTACGCCTTTTTTCAGAATATTCCCAGACTACAGTCCTTGGATACAGACGGAAATGGAGTAACATGCATCCTTCTCTCCAAAGACCTGTCTATACGGAAAACTTTGTTGGATCTGACGGTGCACTTTGGCGATATGACTGCCGCGGCGGTCCTCCAGCTTGCTTAGTTGCCTCGACTGCGATATCTCAGTATTGAGGGCCTCAAAGGTCCGGAGCTCCCTGAGACATTCCTTGAGTCTATTAACAGGATCGAACTCCGCCACCTCGTCCTTCATGGCTCGCAGATTGGACACCGAGTACTGCGAGAAATACTTCGCCGTTCATATGCACATGATACATTATATTGCAATGTTCCTTTGCAGAAAACTTGTCCCTGGGTTTTTCCGCGGATTTACCTCAACATACCATGCAGTCTTTCACCAAGCCGGATCGGTGCATGTTTAACGCCAATCGCTCACACTTTAACCGAGTTGGATATGGGTACTCAACTCCAACACTGGCAAGGACATGACGGAAGCAGACTCGATTTGAGTTCCTTCGTCAAGCTAAAGGTGCTTAACATTGCGGCGCTGTGCATTTTCGCTCCTCTCCCTCTGAGAATACCTCGAGAAGGTCTTTACAAGCTACTTCCCTATTCACTGGAAAGGCTGGCGGTAAGTTGCCACCTTGTCTGATATTTATTGTTCAACTGATGACTTTAACCATTTTAGGTCAAATTCTGCTATGAAGTTGGCATTTTCTATTCGACAATCCCCGGGGTTGGCCAGGTGGAGCAGCAAGGACTAGCCAAATTTAGATCCGAGGATCTAGATAAGTCGTCTTACCGCTGGATACTCGAATTAGCCATATTCAAAGACAGCTCGTTTCCACGGCTCGATTCGGTATATCTTTACGAGGCGGTTCGTGAGCGCTACGCTCTTTTTGCATCAGAGGATTGGGATCCTCCGTTAGTCATTGATTATGCTTTTGACGAAGCAGATATTGAGCTTGATGTGTATGTTCGCGTACCGAGATAATGAGTCTGGGTGGTATCATCTGGTACAGAGAGAAGACGCATCGGTATTCATGTTGGTGACAGTTTTGGCGAAGTTGTTTCAAAATTCAGATCTTTAGCAGCTAGGGACAAGGCGTATGGTTATTTGATTACTGTGCCTGGGGCACTTGTTTGAGAGGAGTTATTCGCTTGTGAGCAGGTATTTCCAGAATGTGCCGTCAAAAATGGAGTACTCGAGAACCGGTTTTAAAGTAATAGATATCCCCAAACGTACCTCCAGGTAGTCGACGGACTGCATCGCGGAGACGTTAAGCGAGTAATATAAATACTCCCTCTCAAAACAGGTTTTAAGGAAGTCAAGCATTCTATTGTTTCTGTTAAATACTTGGCTTGGCTCCGACCACCGTGAGATCTTGCTTTTTGTTTGAGGCTTGAGATTTGAGATGTAGGGATCTTCATACTTGCCTTCTTAGCTGGCCAGTCGGAGGAAAGTAGTTAACTTACCACATATCACCCCGACGTAAGAGCCTTGCTGTGTGCACAGTTTCTAGTACAGCACATTGGTTCACTAGTTTTGAAGTATACTGGGGAGTTTGTGGGCCCTTCTCCCGTGCGCAAGCGGACGGCCATGGATTCCTACGTCCCACCCAGCTAAAAGGACCTGTTTCAGGACAGTCACCACTCCTACTAATTGATCCCAGGAATCGACTCACAAGATTTGGAATATATTCTTCGGACTTGGATGATGGAGGGATATGGGAGTCATCCCCTCCATGCCAATCCGTATTTGTTTTGGAGCATTCGAGTCATGGGCAGAATACACGTCGAAGAATGAACAGAAGTTGATCCCAAGACCCATCATGTGCGGTTCATTAATTTATGCGTTCAAGAAATCGTATACATAAGGATTCATACCACCTCCCAATGCCTGGATGATGCAGTAAAGCCCGCAAGTACTGACCACCAGCCTGTTCAAATCCAATGTTGTCCAAACGCCTGAGACGAACTCTTCTGATACCACTAATGACCATATCTCTCGCTGGGAATAAGCTCATATCCTCCTTCTGAAGGGAATACGAATGCCGATAGAGAGATCAATGCTGCGCTAACGACCGCAATGCTCCAGCTGACAGTGCAAAGAATCCAAGACTTGTCCAACTTCCAACCGACGAAAAAGCGATCATCATTATCGAAGAGGTATGCCTAATCTTATTAGCACAATCAAAGTGAATCAATGAGCCACTTACCACAATAGCCATACCAGCACATTGAACAATCCCCACAAGCATCAATATGAAACCCAGTACCTTCCAACCAGTTTCCCTCTTTTGTTTCCCACCACCAATGATTATCACATACGTAACGATCGTAGCCAATTCCAAGACAGCTGCAAATGACATCAGGAAGCCCACTGACCGCCACATCGAACAGAAGTACCTGTCGCTTCCATGGCAATCCTCCTTCTGCGGGAAATGTATACACGTGTTACTCGTCGAGGAACAACTTCTATGCAAGCCTATCGTCTTCGTATAATGTCCGCCCGAGGGAGAGTCGACCGCATAAGTCACCCAGTCTGGTATAAAAATCGCTGCAAAAGTCATGGCAGTTGCTAGATGTGGTCAGCGATGTATGCACAGCTGGCGAGATCTAAACCTACCTGCAACGAATGCCACAAGGGAAATCGAATAGATAAACGTTCGCGTCATCGTGACCTATATCCTCCCCGGCTGAGCCAGTATGTATTTCCCAATCCTGAGGAATCTGCAAGGCGAGAGGAGGTTTTGGGGAGAGGGGAGGCTGGGTATTTGTTGTGAGGAGGGGTCGATTCTAGCTGCCTAGAATGGCGCTTTGAACGCTGATCAATCGCAACAAGCCCTGCGGGCGCAAATTGCGGTCAGAGATAATAGTTACAGGTATATATAAAGAGCTACAACCGGTTTGGAAAGGACAGTTTAACAAGTTTCTTGATGCGGGGGAATTTGCGGGATATTCAAGATGGGATTGTAGGATGGGAATGGGAGTGTTGATTCAATTGGCCGTAGTAGCTTCAAGATGCGCCTACGTCAGTCTTGGGGGCTTGAGACGCATATGCGAGGTTTGTTCACGAGGCACACTTTTGATAAGAAATTTAGATATCGGACCTTACTCCTTTCATTTCTCATTGGTTGTGAAAGATCTTGAGATGCATTTGGAAGACTATTTGATTTGGTATTGGTTTCCATTCCATTCAGTAAGCATTCCAGAGGCTTGAACTCGTCTATCTAGCCTTTCTTGGCAATCCCCAGCACTCGTCGAGTGTCATGGCCACACCCACGACTATGTTGTGAAAGTCGCGGGTTGAATTGGTGACATTTATGAAAGCTACTCGCTTTCACTGTCATCGCTATCATCGGAATCGGAATCGCTCTCCTCTCCTGAATCGGAGTCCGATGAAGAACTGGAAGAACTTGATGAAGAATCCTCCTCCTGGTCATTGCGAGCAGTAGAATCGTCCGAGCTGCTATCCGAATCACTGCTCTCGTCACTGGAATCCGAGTCATCAATCGTAATGACCGTCCGCTGCTTTCTTTTCCTGGTAACTTTCTGTGGAGCCTCATCTTTCGCTTGGGGCCCTTTTTGAGTACCATCTCCTCCGTTGACCTTGTCCGATGCTGTCCCACTTCGTTCTGGTGTTGATGCCAAAGTCGCAAGTATCCTTTCCGTTCTCATCCTCTTTGCAACCCTTCCCTCCATTGCCTTATCTGAAAGCCCAAGCAAGATACCAGCCTCATAACCCATCTCCTCTGGCGCATTGGCTGCCGTCATTGTTGCAACATACTCCTCCATAGCCACATCGTACTCTCGTTGTCTTTTTTCAGGGTGAACCATAGTTTCTGGAAACCCTGCTGGGCCAGCTTCCTTATCCTTGACTTTGATTTCGATTGCAGTATCCCGTAGTCTTGTCCGTACTCCTCCTGCAAGTCCCTCGACGTATTTGTAGAGGAAATGGACGTGGTCTGAGGGGACTACTTCAACGTTGAAAGCGTGTTTGAGTAGGTGGTTTTGGTGGTTCTTGTTGAATTTCCAAGTGTCTCGAGATTCGCAGTATTGCTTGAGGTATTGAAGGAAGGGTCGTGAGGAGGGTGTGGGAGGTTTGA